CCTACAAAGGCTAAGTGCAGTAACTACGCCACCATTGAAACTGAGAAAAATGCCTCTAAAGTTTTCATACTGGCCAGTCCAACATGTAGCAGGTCCAATAGTGTTGATACTTTCAATTAATACCTTTTTAGGAAGGAAAATTATATATATATAAAAAAAGACCAATGATATGACCTTTGACCCCAAAAATGTAGATACTGCACTCTGCCTTTGAATTACCTTGATCAACTAGAGCACTATTACAAAAGCAAAGTGCAGTATCTACAATTTAGATGTGTTCAGACTTCCACATTTTTGTATTCCTTATGTCTTTTAATCTGTTTTGTGGTTTGTTTATAGATGTTTATAATAGGTTGAGAGTATTGAAATTGCTTGTAACCTTCAATAATAATTTTTTGTCCTAATGTCCCTGTCACATCGCAGTCCTAAACATTTTTTTGTCATCAACATTGTAATTTTTCCAAACATCCTTAACATTTTACACACAATCAATGGTATTTTGGTTTGTGGATTTTCATTTTAATAGAAAATTCATTAATTAAATACCAAAACAAATTCATCCAATTAAATCCCAGCCTAGATCTAACCGTTAATTATTAACGTCAAAATAAGTGACTGCCAATGTAATCATTGAGAGTAGAAGATATGAACGGAAAAAGTCGACTGATCTCGATGGTTATTTCGCAACCCATGACTTTCAGCTTGAACTTCATTGGCTATCAATTAAACAACGCGATATTTTACCTAAACCATGTGATGTAGCGTGTGTAATGAGAAGTAAACAACCAAGATAAAGTGACATTTAATTCAAGACCGTCCTTGCGGCTGCAGGTGCTACACGGCTCTCCTCAGGAGATCGGCTAGCACTAGAATGCTAAACTAACAGTGACTTTGCTCCAGTCGACTAACTAAATGTAATCTTGTTAACTTCACAACAATTGGACTAGCTGCCTGAAACGAAAATAGCTTAAGAAGAAATGAAGGCAAGAAACAGAACAGTGACGGGATCGTATTTGGATTATGACAGCATTTCCAGACTGGATAGATGTTACAGTCTTCAAGGGAGCAGGTAGGCTAAAATGGTTTAATATGCTAGCGGCTCGCTATTAAACCGGCTTATGATAATTAATAGATTTAGATGTTATTTGACTGGTTAGTTGTTCATATGTTATCCATCTTCCTACCGTTGTTTGGATACTTGCGTTTCAAAGAAAGTTTCCACCATGGTTTTTCCTCGGGATTGTGCCATGATATTTGTGTCAGTTTTACCATATATTTCTAGCAGCTATCGTGTTTGTGGTGTGTGTGATGGAATGTTTTGGATGGGGCTACTAGGCAGACCGCAGTATCTGCGTCAAAGCCAGGTAAACACAGGCAGAACGTAGTATCTACACTTACTGCGGTTAGCCTCGGTATTAGGTTGGATTTCGTAGTTACTGCAAATTTGACATAGTGATTTCTCTAAAACGGGACCCAGTTGGACCAAGAGCTTTTGTCACAAGACAAAGGAGGTGTTATGAAGCCCATTTTCAGTCTAAACTCAATTTTGACCAAATATGTAGTTACTGCACTTTGTAGTGCCATCCCCCTGGGGCTGGATGCTATGGTGCAGACGTGGCCGAGGCTACGTCTGTACGCATTTCCCCCTGTTGCTCTGCTCCCAGGAGTTCTGGATCGAGTCCGCCAGTACGGAATAACCCTACTGCTTGTAGCACCACGCTGGCCGAGTCGGATCTGGTTTGCGGACCTGATCCATCTCTTAGACGGTCCTCCCTTGGAGATCCCGATCAGGAGAGACCTTCTGTCTCAGGCCGGGGGCACAATATTTCACCCTCGTCCAGAGATTTGGAACCTGTGGGTTTGGCCTCTGAGGGGGCCCAACTCATAAAGAGTGGTCTCTCAGCTGAGGCTGCTGAGACCATCCTAAGCTCCAGAGCTCCAGCTACTAGGAAACTTTATGCGCTTAAATGGAGAGTTTTTTCTGTATGGTGTCACCGACATCAGTGGGATCCAGTTAACTGTTCTGTGAACACAGTACTCGAGTTCCTGCAGGAGCGCTTTACGTCAGGTCTATGTCCTTCCACGCTCAAGGTCTACGTGGCGGCCATTGCGGCTTACCACGCCCTGGTGGGGGGTACATCGTTGGGTCGAGACCCCCTGATTACACGTTTCCTTCGTGGCACATTGAGGCTGAGGCCTGCAACTCGCACTAAGGTGCCAGCTTGGGATCTTGCTATAGTACTAGAAGGCCTGTCTAGGGCTCCGCCCTTAGATTCGGTTTCAGAGAAATTTCTTACCCTCAAGACTATCTTTCTGCTAGCTATTTCTTCCCTTAAGAGAGTTGGAGACCTTCAGGCCCTTTCGGTTTCCCCCACCTGCCTTGAGTTTGCACCGGGGATGGTCAAGGCATTCTTATATCCGAAACAGGGATACGTCCCTAAGGTGCCGACCTTGATTCCGAGGCCTATTGTGCTGCAGGCTTTCTGTCCTCCTCCTTTTACATCTGCGGACCAGGAAAGGCTGAACCTCTTGTGTCCAGTGCGAGCACTGGATACTTATGTTCATCGGACATCTTCAATGAGGAAGTCCGACCAGTTATTTATTTGCTTTGGATCACCTAAGAAGGGTCTTCCTGCTTCTAAACAGACGGTTAGTTAGTGGATAGTCGAGGCTATTTCACTTGCATACGAGTACTCTGACCATCCGTGTCCCTTGGTGGTCAGAGCTCACTCTACGAGGGTATGGCGGCCTCTAAAGCCTTGTTATTTGGGGTTTCTCTCCAAGACGTTTGTGATGCGGCAGGCTGGTCCTCACCGCTCACATTCGTCAGGTTTTACAGTTTGGACCTGGATGCTGCCCCAGGTTCTCAGGTGCTTAGTGCTTAGTTCCAACAGACTGACACTCAGGTACTTGGAATTCTGGCGTTTTGGGTATTCTCGTTCCCAAAGCGTCGATGACGCATCGCGAGTTACCTCGAAAGGGAACGTCTCAGGTTACTACTGTAACCATAGTTCCCTGAGAAAGGGAACGAGACGATGCGTCACCCTGCCATACTTCCTGCATCCCTGTGATCGGCTTGCTTCGACTTTTTGAAGCTAATGCCGCGTTTCACCGGATGTGCTCTTATGCCTTCCTGGTCATGACGTCACCCGCCCGTGACGCTCATTCTTTCCATTGGACTAGTTGACATTGATGCTCAGACGCATTCACGCTGGGGGCGTTCCCAAAGCGTCGATGACGCATCGTCTCGTTCCCTTTCTCAGGGAACTATGGTTACAGTAGTAATCTGAGACGTTTTCTGTTCTTAAACCTGTATCCCTCAACAAAACTTAAAGGAAGCATATCTCAAAATCATTTTGCTAGCAGAAGATATCGGGGTACAGCTGCCAGTCGTTAATGCAGTGATGGACAGCTGCCTCCTCAGTCGACTGCTGTTTCTTTGGATTTCATGTGATTTCTCATTGTGGTGGTGATATTATGATAACTCAGTTTAATTAATAATTGATTAAAAGTAATTCCATTTTGTAATAGGCTATCATTTTCATCGAAGTAATTCCAAACTTCGCGAGGCAGACAACGACATTATGTGGTCAAATACAATCCACTTGTTAAATGCTCCACCCAGTGTATTTAATTATAACTGCGAAAAAAAAATCGAATAGTATTTTATTTTTTGAATAATAATGTTTAGTTTAGTTTAGTTTAGTTCCTTTATTGTCCACAAGTGGAAATTTGTCTTTCTAATTACGGATCGAAAATTCGAATATTCGTGCACATCCCTAATAGATAGATAGATAGATCCCAAACTTGAAATGAAATGTTTGCACTTTCTGTGTTGTATTGTACTTTATATGTGTTTTTCATGCCAACAATGTTAATAAAATGATCAAATGCATTCAGTGGCACTCATAATTTCTCTTATTTTCACCGGAAAAAATTTGGCTAGTGGAAATTCTAAATGGCTGGTAACTTTAGAAAGTTACCAGCCACATTGGCTGGTGATCCAAAAATTTAATTTAGAACCCTGGTTGTAAGAATATATTGCTCATTGTTAATTCATGTTAGTTAATGCATTAACTAATGTTAACAAATGAGACCTTATTGTAAAGTGTTACCAGAAAATATGTATTTATTTGTGATAACAACCAGCTGAATGTTTTCACGGCGGTGTGTAGACAGACTGAAGACGCAGGGAGATGATGAAGTATAAGCGCAAACTTTAATGATAATCCACAGATAATCCACATACGGGGCAGGAAAACACACCTTACCATTAACGTGACCAGACAGAGAATGAGCATGAGGGTACATCTTAGGGGCTGTTACTAAAAACGTAGAACTTCGTTGTCGTGTAAATGTTTTGGGTGCCTGAAAGTGCAAGTTTTTGAAAACGGTCTCCGTCTCCATTTAAACAACAAAAAACGCGAATCTGTGGAAACGATGACGTCATGCACATGCATATTACATTCAGTCTACAGTATAATGTTTCATCACCATCTAATGGTCTGGCAGCAGAACACAGGGTTTTTAGTCGTTTTCGCAGATTCATGTGAATGGGGATCGTTTTGACAATGATGCCGTCTGTACGCAGAAAACTCAAAGGAAAAACTTCTCAGTTTTAAGCGTATCGTTGTCGTGTAAACGTACCCTCAAATAGGAACTCAAACAAGATTATTAATTGAACATAGCTGAAGCAAACAAACTCATAATGACCAAATCCATAGCAACCAGGAAGTGCAGGAATATAAACAAAGGAAAACAGGAACTGAAGGAATACAAACTAAAAGTCCATGAACTAAATAATGGTGACAGATGTACATTATCCCATAAATTCTGACGTTATATCTCACAATGTGACTTCATTATTATTTTATCTCACAATTTTCCATTTGAATTTTTTTGCTCCAGGTCAGAAATGGGTTTGATGGTTTGATAAAAAAAAATGGTTTGATAACATTGTACTATGTCTAATTATCAGTTTCTTACAAAATGCTTTTTACCTTCTGAATAGTGTGACAGGGTCAGCAAGCTTACACAGGATGCCCCAGCTCCTGATCCAAATATAGTCACCCTTTTTGGGTCGCCTTTGAAAGCCTGGATATTCTCTTTGATCCACCGGAGTGCTTGGATCTGGTCCAATAGCCCATAATTTCCTTTGGCTGCCTGGTCACCTGTACTCAGGAACCCTAGTGAGACAATAAACATACAAAATAATAATTATTTATTTTCAGGGGGAAAAAAACAACAACAAGCTTTTAATTTGTTTACCTTCAAGTAATGCATTGCATATTTTCATCCATTATTTTAATAAAAAAATAGTTTTTTTTCCCTCTCTTTTTTTCCCTTATAACCTTTTATTTCTCAGAGATCTGTAGGCCATTTGATTAAAACTTGTTTTCATTCTAATTGTCTTTCGCTTGACACCTTCCCTCCCCCTCACAAAGACATGTACACACAAGAATCACCACACTTGACATCTGAATAGGCCAAGCACAGAATTCTAAAAAGAGACCCTTAATGGCATGCCACGGTTACTTCATGTTAAGGGCACTAATGGCTGCCCTCGAAATTGTCTCATTATTTACCTCTGGACCCAATCTGTCCCACTACCCTTTCACTAAAGTCATCATTGTGAAGAAAGAATATATAAAAAAAAAACACCACTTAGGGTGCAAGAGACATGCTGTTAAGGAACAGATGATAGTTCAAGGTTGCATTTTAGACTCTAATAGGGTTATTTGACTGCCTTTATGGAAAATACTGAGGTTACTTCCATGTTAATTGATACAATTTATCTGCTCATTCAAAGTTGAATGTGGAACTGTGGTGAACTTTTTTCTTCTAAAGTGTAGGAAACTCAGAGGCGAAGACCAGGAGACTTGGTTGTATCTTCAGCAGGATTCTTTATTGAGAACACAAGCTGTGGGTAGCTGCACTCATCGTCAAGTCTAACTAAGGCAGTATATATTGTAGTTTATATACCTTTCAAGGGGGAGGGATTACATAGAGGTGGAGACTCTCTGAAACAAAGCATGTAAATGAAGTACAGGATTCAGCTCGTTACCGGAAATTCCCCAGTCCTGATCTCATCAGCATAACAGTGTCATGTATAGATGGTGATCCAATCAACCTGATTAGATCACTCAAACCTTAACATTATCATAGAGACAAAAGGCCCAGCTGTACTTTGAGAAGTGACAAAAGGTTAATGTCAGCAAGCAGGATGGCTTGACTTAATCTTCTTTAAATCTCATCATCTATGCCTCAAAATGGAAAGCACTGTGTACAGTTTAAATACTATTGTATTGGAACCTAATTAAACATTTAATAAATTTGTAACACTACAGGTGCCTATATTTCCATGGTTAAGGGTAATTCACTCAAATGACATAAAAATTATGGCTTGATGGCATTTTTGCGGAAATCTCCGTGTGGATAAAAGATAGATTCTAATCAAAATTTGGATTGCTAAATAAGGGCAGGACCTTCTAATTAAATGGTGATTTGTCTTTAGGCTTTGTTTGACAAAATCACTCCTTATTTGAAGAGACACTAAATCAAAGTGACAACATACAGCAACAGATATTTCCTCAAAGACGTTTAAATAAACCAAATTTCTCTGATCGGCTTACAGTATGCATGCCAACCTCTTTTAACAGGCTTGTCAATGTGTACAAAATCACAAACAGGTTGACAAATTAGCTGACTGTCTTAAACCCATTAGCGAGACCCAGAAAAGCCTCAAGGGTCTCAATTCTGTTCCTTTGCCCAGTCTTGGATCTCCGATCCTGGCCTCAGGCAAAGGCACTTTCCTCGTAGACCCGCTTAGGGGCTGGTCCCAGACAGCTCTGGACAAATAGGATGAGAAGCATGGGAAGCAAAACTAGCCACTGTAGCTTTTTGATAGAGGGACAGATCCAGTTGGTCATGCCTACACAGAAGGGGCTTGATGTGGTAGAGGGATTACAAAGCCCTGAACAGCATGGGTACTGTAGCTCAACTGGATAACCCAAGCCAATGGTCAAATACAGAATGTCATAATGACAGTGAGGAAAGGATAAAAAAGAAAATCAGAGGAATTCATCTTACTGTACACCTTTATAGAAATATTCTGCTAGAAACAATTGGAAAATACAGTATGTCAGCGTGCAGATTGTAAAGAATCCTTCCTCAATACAATCATGATCCTACAGCTAGCCCTCATTCAGTTTCATGATTCCAGTGAATTTGCCAACAAAATGGAATGATGCTGGCAATAAGATGAGGCACACCTGGTGCACACTGCACCTTGTCCACTATTGTGTCTCTCTTATTTTTAAACCTGATTTCACAACAGTCTATTCATGTGTTACTCAAGACCACCTCTAAGCCTGAATCTTTGAACAGACATCTTTAATGCCTGGATAGGTAAGGACGCTCTCACTAGACTGAATGAATACTGAAAAGGACCATAAAGGAGATAGTGAGATACATCATTAAAATGTTATTTTATTTGAACATCTGAAATAAAGTTTGATGTACTAAGAGATGCAGTTATTTTAACAATTCAAAATATCCTACCAAGCATAAAAATACCATTTATTTTTGTATATAAAAAAAGGAAAATTTTTAGGAAAATGCTTGAAGATTAATACAATAATTTAATAATTTATTTTAGGGTCCAATTCTAGCTATTACCTATGACTTTTGAGTCAATAAACTCCTAATTACTGATTATAAGGTAGTTGATAAGTTTAGGCATTGGGTAGGATTAAGGGATAATATGGTCATGCAGAATAAGGCATTACTATGTGCTTTATAAGCACTAATATGCAGTCAATATCCTAGTAATATGCATGCTAATAAGCAACTTTAAATATAGTGAAATATAAATAGCGAGAATTGCACCCTAAACTAAAGTGTTACCGTATACAACATTAATTCCTTGATGACTATATCAATATGACAATGATGACAATCAATTATATATATATTCTTTTTCAATTAATTTGTGGTATCTGTCAGGAGTTAGTAAGCAGCAATAAAGCTACGGGACAGGAGTAGTGAACTTCATCCATCTAGTTTACTCATAACTTCTGTTCTCCATAATGTTAAGTCATTACACAACAGTTCAGACTTCCTTTCAAAACAGTAGTCCACAACACAATTAACTTATAAACCCACCATAATTGTTTTAATCTAAAGTATTAATAGGCCTAGTATTTGTATTACTTTCTTGACAGCAGAAAAAAAAATGTCTTCTGTTTAAATTGTAATACAATTCACTTATAAACCCACCATAATTGTTTTAATCTAAAGTATTAATAGGCCTAGTATTTGTATTACTTTCTTGACAGCAGAAAAAAAATTTGTCTTCTAATTTAAATTGTAATAAACTAATTTGTTCAAACAATTGTCAAATTATTATTTTTTTTTAATCTAAAACGCAGTTAATTGTGACTAGATTAAAGTCTGACCATGTATACTAAAATATACGGTATATTTTCCCAAATAGTTCTTACACAGTAATATGACAGAACAGAATGTCACTTTATCTATTAATGTCATTAAAGAAGGAATGTTCAAAGGAAAAAGGGAGAAAAATGAATCATGATGGTGATTAATTGATTTCAAAAAAGATGTTAAAGTCTTCATTTGATTTGTGAGGAAACATTTAAAAATTACATTTGTAGTGAACTGAGAAAATAAAACAGTATTTCACAGCATGAGCCGTGAGCCGTGATTCAAGGCATTCAATGGAAAACTGCAATAAAAATGCTGACAATAAGAATGGGACAGTCGACTGGCATGTAAATTCCGCACTTTTTCGTTGATCTCCAAAAATGTTTTCATTGAACTTGTATCTTCTGCAATGTGTTTTGCTGCAGACATCACAGATATAAGAAAGTCAGGAGCTTTTCAAAGGGTCAGAAATACTGAATATTACATAAAGCTCAACAAGCGCATCATGCACCTGTTCACTGAAGGAGCCCCACTGGCAGTCCCTGACTTGGTGCCCTACGTGAGATAAAACCAGGTTGGGGAAAGGAAAATAACATAATAATTAATGACTTAGTAGTTTATATATATATATATATATATATATATATATATAGAGAGAGAGAGAGAGAGAGAGAGAGAGAGAGAGAGAGAGAGAGAGAGAGAGAGAGAGAGAGAGAGAGAGAGAGAGAGAGAAAGAGAAAGAGATGCATAGAGCTCATTCTAAAGCTTAATGTGACATTCTTTTCTTTTCTTTTTTCCCCTTTACAAAGTATTACATTAATACTTGGCCACATGTTCTGGACAGTTTTGTATTAGTGTTTGGATAGACACTCCGTAACATTCAACAAGGATTGATGCAGTTCCCGGTATGTTGTTCAAAGTAAGACCCTCACTAATCCTTTGCTGTATTAAATGGTGAAGCCAGCGAGAACTGCACGCTGAAATGTAGGTCACCTCTCCAAATACTATGGAGAGATCAGAAGGCTGAGCGACAGTAATAAAAAGATCTTGCCAGACTCACAGCAAGCTGCTGTCGCTAAAACACTTCCAACTGTATTCCAAACACACCTCAGCAGGTTGTATGGAAGGAAAGGAAGCTCACGCTGATGTCACCACTGCGATGTAAGCAGAACAATACACTCTAGCAGCAATTCCCAAATATGTCTGCAATGACAGTTATGACTTCTAGGGGGGCAATAAAGTAAACAGGGAACCTAAGAGCATGAGAAGGTAGCTTACTTGATAAGAGCAGTACAAAAAATAAAAAGTGTCTTAAGATATAGTGCTTGTTTATTTGGTGGAACACAAAGCCGACGTTAAACCCAAAAATGAAAATTCTGTCATCATTTACTCACCCTCATGTCGTGCCAAACCTGTGTATGCATTCCCTTTTCTGCATAACACAAAAGAAGATATTTTAAAGAATGTTGGTAACACTTTCAGTTCCTATTGACTTTTTTTGTCCATACAATTGAAGTCAATGGGACCCAAAACTGTTTTGTTTCCAACATTCTTCAAAATATATTATTTTACATTCTACAGAAACTCATCTCCTTGTTCCACGAAAGAGTGAAGATCATACAGGATTTAAGTAAATTATGATGGAATTTTCCTTTTTTGGTTGAATGATTCCTACACCAAAGTTAACAAAGGATTAAACAATTGTGTGAAAAATAAACAACAACAGCTTTGGCTCAAGCAATCA